GGGGGGGGGGGGGTATGGGTGGGCGGCCCGGGGGGGTGTTCATGAAAAACGGATGTCGTAGTCGTTAAGTCCGTTGACCTCGTATCGCCGGGACGGGGCAATGTGCCGGGATTTCGACGGCCCAGGCTGTGCGTTTAACAAGAACGGAACAACCAGAAGGCTGGTCATCGTCCTTGTGTGTACGGTGCCAAACAAGATAATGGCATTGGGAGGGGGAGAAAGTGTGTAATCGTGGAAGACGGAGGTGATTGAGAAGGCACGAGGTGCCACGAACCACAAACGGTGCTGGAGGCGCGACAAGCCGTTCCTGTTCCCCTCGACCCAATGGATGAAAAAACAAAACAAAAGGCCTCGGCAAGGCCGGAGGACCGCCGCCCGGACACGAAACAAGGTTCGTTGGCGAAACCTTAGTGTACTCGTATTCTCTTCGTCAACAATGGTGGTTTTCTCGCGCGAAATCCCACCTGGTGCACATGTACGACCGAGTAATGAAAGCCGTCGAGTGGGTGATGAACCCTTGCGGTTACCAATCCCACGGATATACTATCTACGATGGCGCCGACCTCAACAACCAGAATTGTGCTGAAAATGTTCTAGCTTTTCGAAACACGACATAGCAAGGTTACGAAGAAAGTAACCACTCCCACCCTCCCCCATCGCCACTAACCTAATCCCGCAACCCTTGCGAACCAGGAGCGAAAGCGGCAGCACCGCCTCCGCGGGAAAACCGACAATCATAACGCGGCAGCCGGAGAGGTAGTCGCCGTCCGGCAGCGCCAACGCCTCTTCCTTGGTGGGAACTCCCTCTGGTCTACCGCCGGCGGCGGCAGCATCGTTGTCACCTTCCCCATTTGCCCAGGGATAGCGCGAGCTGGCCGCGGCTGTAGAAGAAGGCTCAGCAGGGCCACCTGTTGCTGTTGCTGCTGCTGCTGCTGCTGCTTTTGATGGCACGGCCGCTGCCGATGCAGCTCCAGTACCTGGCCGCCGCTGCTGCTGCTGTCGCCCCTTGCCGCTATCCTGAGTTGGTGCTTCGTGCGCCCCCTCCCTCTTTCCTTCCTCCTCCTCGACTTCCACTTCCTCCTCCTCCTTTTGTTTTTCGTCGTGGTGGGGTGCCACGGGGAACTGTTCTTCTGGCAGCCGAACTGGTAGAGAGAGGGCGAGAAGGAGCGGTGGGAACACGATACAAAAGGGTCGATCGGAGCGTTCAGCGGGGTGAATGTCGACGATGGGAGCAGGCTTCCACGCGGGCGATCGGGCCTCTGACCGAGCGAGGAATACACAGCACATCGACCCCGTCGTGCAGCAACAGCAGCAACAGCAGCAAGAATCTGCGAAGAGCTTCAGCAACGACAGGAGCTGCGTCGGAAGGCGCGACAGCCACATGCAACAACGAGCACCAGCAACAATGACTTACGATTGCGGGCGTGGCTCTGCTGGAGCCATCGACTGTGCACGACCTTGATACTCCCGTTCCACTCGGGGCTGATGGCTGCTTCGTACTTCATGCCGGTAGCCTCCTGTGTCACCGAAAACCAGGAGTGAGAAAATTACGGGCGCCGGGGATGGCAAAGATGCGGCATGGTGACGGCGTGGAACCCAGCTTTCGTCTTCAATATCCTACCAAAGCATCCGTCTTCGACTGTTACTTGAATAGTCAGGTGTCACGGGGCGCCCGGTAATCTTTAACCCGTTAGGCCTTTGGCGCTGAGGGCTGGGGGAGGGGTACTCATGTTTTGCATGCTCTTGCGGTCGGACCATTTGCCACTCAGGGGAAGGGGTGAGTTGAACCCATTGTGGCGCATGTCCGAGCTCTTGACTGCGCTTCAGACCATTTGAGCACGATCATTCCTTTTTTTCTGGAGAGGCCGAGCCTAGCTTCGTACGATTAGGGTGACTCCCAGAGCGGTGGAGCGCCGTCACACCATTAGAGAGAAAATGTGCTCAGGGGGTGGGGAGGGCAAGGGGGGGGCAGCATCACCTAATATTAGGAGACGATGACGCTCAGCCGGAGATGACTGCGTTCAACATTCATTTTCCCCTGCACCTGTCTATTTTCGAAGAACTATGACGCTTGTTCCCGCGGGAGACTAGGCACGTACACGCATGAAAACACACGACAAACCTCTGCTACCAGGTGCGTGGTGTTCCGCGCTTCCATCGCCCCCATGTATTCACCGCCCCCGCTCTCGATCATCGCTCGCAGCTCCGCCTTTCGGTCTGACGTTTCGCAGCCCCAGCAGCATGATCACCAAATTGAGTACAGGAAGAATCGAGGTTGCGAGCCACACACGACGAACACCGGGGGGGGGCGTGCAGTGGGAATACGAAGGCGGGGCGTGAGGCGGCGCAGAGCGCTGCGACCTCTGTCCGTTGTGCGGCCCCGGAAAACAACTGCAAAGCAACAGCAACGCCTAACATCAAATTCAGACAGCGCAACAAGAGGTCGCCCGTGGCCAAAATAGAACCGGCGTTTGGCGAAAAACGCCAACAAGAAGCAAGGCCGCCAGTGAAACGCCAGCAGAACACATCACACCGCCGGGCAACAGCAGTGCTTCCACAGATACCACACACAAGCACAAGCATCACAGACCCAAGAACGCCGCACGTACCCAATGACAGGCCTGTGATCGTGATACGGAGCCCCTCGAAAGGCGGGAGTGAGTGGCGCTCGCAAGGCAGCTTTCGCCCCTCCCTGCAGCTCTCGGTAACCCAGTCCGGTCGGACGACAACAACACCCTTGTCGAACAAATCCGTGAACAGAAGGCGAGGAAAGCGGGAGGGGCACGGAGAGGGCAAGAGAGTCGACAGAGAATGAGAGAGGGAAAAAAAAGTGACATGCGTCAAATGCGGGCAACATGAGTAGATAGAGAATGAGAGAGGTGCAAAAAATACAAAAATAAATCAAAAGGGGTCAAGGGTTGGTTCACCGTGAACGCGAGGTGCTTTTTCATTAGCACCACCTCGTGCGTGGGTGTAGGCCCTGGTAAAACACGCCTTGCCTGTGAAAGAGTACTCGAGTCGAGGTCGCACCTCCACCAGCACGCTTCCCTCTCGTAATCGTGCATTGGCCCAACGTAACACAGAGGCGGGGATCCCAAAGCCGAAACCCGGAGAGGTCTGTACCAAACCAAGCCATGCAATAGCAAACACCCGTTGGCACACAATCAACGGCAACAACGAAAACAGGAACACCCCCACACCGCCTCCAACAACAACAACAACAAGTACCCAAGCTAACACCGGCAGCCACACCACAACAATATGGAAACCATTGGTCGAACGAGCCGCACACCTTCATCCCGGTAGCTACCCTGTACTTCTCTGTGTCCAAGGATGCCGCCAGGAGGTGGGTGGTGCTCATGGTCAGGTTCACGTCGAAGCTCCCGCCCATAGCGTTTACTTTCTCCCTCAGGTCCTCCTGCGTTTCGCCCAACAATAAATTGACGCACAAAACAAACGTCGGGATATGACCCACCGAGGTCAAAGGCATCTTGTTGTCGTGGCTGGTGCCGTATGCTCGCGCGCTCAAGAAAAATTTCCATCTTGTTTTCACCGCGTTCCCTGCTGTGAAGGTGTAACCGTCTACATATTCATGGAAAACACGCTCGGAGATTATTTATCTCAACCATCGAGGTTGATCGACATCGACGCCATGTAGTCTATACGGTAGTCGACGTGCCAAGCTTCGACCTGTGTCAACATGATTATACACCTACTGGCGAAGCACTGACCGGTGTCCGACCTGCCGCGACTCGCCGAAGCCAAGGGGGTATCTCCAGGATACCTCTACGGGCATCTCCAAAATACCTCTAAGATCCTTCCCCGGACAGACATCCTCTTACTCTCAAACATGTTGGGATGCACGCAAATTTCGTGTATAGTCTATCCTTGTAGCGGCGAAAGCATGCGGATTTTCATGGGGCGTAATTGGACTCGCGCTCACGAGGTTTCTACCCTCGATCTCTGTTTCGCGTATGCATATGCAACTCTATTTGAGCAGATCAACTCTACTCTCTGTAAATCCCAGTTATGAAGGGTATTCTCAAGTTCTTCGTTACAATTTGGGCCGTTGGTCATTTGCTCAATGCTGCGGACAGGTGTGGTGTACATACAACACATGTGGGACGCTCGGGGTCTATCTACAGCAGCCTTTCCCGGAGCTACTCTGTACCCTCGAAATAACACACGCAGCATCAATGGCCGCCGGGAAGGGCTGAGCTAGTCATTCAGCCAATGTTTCATTGCTCTTCTGTGCACAGCAGTGCGCTGTCGCTTTATCACTGTGGAAGGTCCAACCGTAGCAGACTTCTGCTGTATGAGCTGCTGTAGACACCCCGCGCGCAATCGCGCAATTCTGTTGTCAACGAGGAGATTTGAACAACGAGATTTGGACACACCTTGAGGGTGTTCGTCACACCGGTGCAGCACGCCACCACCCCATGCAGCAAGTTCCCACCCTTCCATCTCGCCTGCCTCGTCTCACTGCGGCTCCGCTTCATGGCCCCTGCCGTGTCAACGTCGACGCCGGCGTGCCGTTGTGTCGTTGCTGTGTGTTGCTGCTGGGTGTGTTGTGTGTATTCGAATTCCTCAATCGCAATCTCGCCGCCTAAACACGCCTGCACCACTCCACGAAAACTGGTTCTACGAACTCCAGAGGAAATCTGCGCACGTTGTAGCTGCGATCTGAGGAACACCAACATGGACGAACCCAGACATTGCTCCTGTTCAACTCAGAATCATGTGCCACCGTACAGATCGGTGCGGGCAAAGAGGCAGCCGTTGTCTTGATATTGTTGCTGAAGGGAGGCCGACGCAATATTCGAAGGATGCCATGTGTTTTTGGAGGCTAGCTAACACAGCGAAGAAGTCCACCCGCTTCTCCCTCCCAGGAAGTGCAAGGACAAAAACACCTCCACATAACGTGGTGGGACACAGTTTGAACTGCGTGAAAGAACGCGCGAAAGGCAATAAGCATGGGAATCGAGATGAACTTGGAGAAGAACGTGGTGGCGGGACCTGCCTAGACTAAACACCAAAAGGACGCGAGGATTTGTTGGGTGGGAGGTGAACACTCGACTAGACTAGTCTAGACGATATACATACATACATGTAGAAGATGGGACGCCGATTAGTCGTAAGGACGAGAGGAACCGCAAGGTGTTTCTGGGTGAAGAAGGCGCTTTCCGGAAGCGGAAGGGATTATTCGGCGATCTATTTAGTACCAGGTCTCCCACGCTCCAATCGTCCATGATGATCAAGACGATAACGGCGCGATAGCGCCGCCGCTTCCGCGCCACCCGGAACGCCGTTCTTGACACGCGTCACTTACAGTATGCGTGTCTAGACGCTTATATAAGGCTGTTCTGGCGAAGACAACCTGTTTCGCGCCAGGCGCTCTCGCTACCTCCCCGTAGATAAAGTCGAAGTGGACAACCTCGCCCCCGAGAGTGAGTGCATCGCATCTGGACTCATTCAGAACGTCCGTGAATGGAATATAGATCTATCCGATCGGCAAGAAGACCCAACGCGATCAGTGAGTTCTCGGGAGCACAGCAGTACATATAGACTAGTAGATGCCGCCGGAGACGTTCAAATACTGACATTCTTTCATTTCTTTCGATGGATTTTGGTCCAAGGGTTTCCTGCGAAAATCCGGTCATCCATGTCGTCTAACCACAGCTCCTGGTTCGGCGGGTGAACATCTCAATGCTTGTGAAGTTCCCGGATGCACTTCGTTTCGAATCCAAGGTTGAACACCTGTTTGGGAAATTCTCTCGAATGCCCCGGACACTCGGATAGTCAATGTGATGCAATATAGTCTTATCTACCAGAATAACGGAAAGAAAACTCGACATCGGAGACTCTGGTCATACCGAACCGAATGTCGTTCGTCAGTTGAGAAGAGATACACCGAAAGAAACATCAGAAGGCCTCTCCCTTGGAAGGAAAAGTGTCGGGTCATTCGGACGTCAGGATTATGTCCTCTTTGGCTACAGAAACCGAAACCTACCAATAGATTAGTCAGCGCGGATTTTGGAACGGTTGAGTGGAGGAGTGATCTACCTTCTCGCGTAAAAAAAAATGAAGGGAGGTCACTCTCAGACTAATACAGGGAAAACATTTACCATGCCCGGGACCGGAGAGTTCTTTCACTCGGAGAGGCACGTGTGAGTTGAAAAAATGTGTGCAGGTTTGCCAAAAAAAAAGCTTTGTTTCGTTGGGCTCTTCGAGTCATAAACACGTCAGTCACCTGTGTGTAGCTGGAAGCCAGTTGTGGGTGGGTCCTGCTCCCTGCAATCTTCATCTTGCATCATCACCCCTTCATGACACTGCTGTGTTTTCATGTGCCCCCTCAGGAGGGAGCACTTGCACAATCCGAAATTATTTGGACATTGTCGTGCTGCATCTCTCCGGCGGTCCAACAAATATGTCGGAGAGGCAACCAGAGCCAGGGTCACACGGGCAGGGAGGTCGCGCAGGATAATTTTCGATTACGCTTTCAAAACAGGATCATGAATAAAGTCGAGCAGGTCCAAGAAGAAAAAAAAAATCTACACAACGAAAGCGATTCGCAAATACAGGGTGCCGCCCGCCTGGATCGTCCATCTGTCGTGGAATACCTTTGTGGAATGCAGTTTCACGTGTGTGTGTGTGTGTGTGTGACGCACCAAGCCGCTACCGGCACCGCACCTGACACCAAAACCGCACAACAAAATTTACCCAACCACCCTAAATACCAATCAATACAATCATGACCTCTCCCGTACCCGTTGCGGAACACCGCAAGAGTATCCGGCGCCAGCATCACTATGCCCCCCACAAGACTGATTTCTCCACCGAACACACTTTTCAAAATTAATCGCTGCGAGCTTCCCACTATAGCCCAAAATACATCACCCATGTACTCCACTGGATGGCGGCGTGCGTTTCAAGGGATCGGACCGTGGCGATGAATTATCTCTGCCTCGCCCTCATTCTTCCACGACCCCACCGTGATTTTCGCGTCTATCTCACGCCTCTCTCTCCCCGAGCCCATCTTCTTTCTTCCTCGCCAGCGTACTATTGCCGCCAGCGTGCTATTTTCATTTTGTCGCATAATGAAGAAAAGAAACGGTGGGCATATAGATAAAAAATAAAGACGAGAGGACTTTCAAGCTGTTCGTCGAGTCGAAGTGCAAAAAAAAAATCTAGGAAAAAAACAAGCCATTCTCGACCACCCGCACCATGTTTTCCCACCAACTCCGATCAGAACATACACGGTCCTCTTGGTTCTCGAGCCGAAACAAGAAACACGACCGTGTACAGTAGTCCCTACCATCCCCCGGTAATCGAGAGAAAGAGGCGAGCAAAACAAACGAGCGCACCCGTGCGCCTCTTTCAACCGTTGCGAAATAACGCGCGCGAGGAATGGGACGGAAGAGTCAACGGAAGTTGTCACCGATCAGCAACACAAGTGTGCGCCTCTCCCCCTTTCCAAGACTCGGCGGATGAGCCGGGCAAGCGACGAAGCTGAAATGAGCCCGCCCTAACGTAACAGGAACCAAACCGTCTCGCTGGGATCCCTGCGGTCCGCACACACACGCCTCCTCCCCATCGGACCTGCTGGAGTACACCAAGGAACGCTGACAGCAACAAACGCGTAATCCCTCGCCTCGACCTTTGCTATTGCCGCAGGGTCTTCACGCCCGTCCATTACGCTGTCCTGCCAAACCCGCAGTCAAAAACGCCCATGTCCGTAAGGTCGCCCCCGTATTCCATGAACGTCCCTTCGAGGCAAATGGTCTAACGTCGTCGAACAAGTCTTGGTCGGCTACGTGTCTCATCCGCCGGACCCTTGGCGGCGGTGATGGTGATAGCGGGGGTGGCATCTTTGTCTCTGTTCTCGGCTGCTTATGGAACGCTAGTCTATCTTCTACGAACTCGCCAGGTCGATCGCCACACGCAACCATCCCCCCCCACACACCCACACCCACACCCAAAGCAACACGCACACACCAATGGCCAGACAACGTGATGGAATTTTTTTGTTGTCCTGCACATGGCCGCCACGTATGTTCACTGGTCAGCCAGTAACCGCGGTCGATATGCTAATTTGAGAAACACACCACCACAACCACCACCACCACCACGAGAGAGAGAGAGAG